ACAAAAACAATAATAACGAGCGGGGGGGTTGGGGTGCAGAATGGGGATGGACAGTAACCATAACCATACAATCCGGATAACCAAACAGCTCGCATTTGGATGTGCAACTGCTAGAGGTGCATCCTCAAACAGCAGTCAAACGATGTTCGAGACACTAGATCATACAACAGGTGAACTCTGAACAAGACAACGACACATTATGAATGTCGGGCAGTCATTTTGATAAACTCCTAGTGAAAGCTCCCTAAATACGGCTGAATTTTAAAAAAATGTTGTCTTCTTAACAGATTCTTTTTCAAAAATACGTTATCTTGCAAGACAATGTTTTATATCGCGCCTCGCACGAGGTTGTTATTAAAAGAAAAAGGAAAATCTTGTTTCATTACGCCTGATTTTGTGGCACACAGAGCAACTGAAAAGCTCGGAAGCACTGCACAATTATTTCGACCGTAGTCCGTCTCAGCAGTGCAAATTCAGAACAGAACTGACTACCTCACAAGTAAAACGCAAACATTATACTCAACTAGTAGGTATTTGATTAGACTAGTAATAGTATTTTCTATACGCGATATAGCACATTTTTCTTAGTTTTGTACACGATACGATACCGTTTGGTGAATGTCGCAGACGCCGGCAGATTGGCCATTATCTGCACGTACATTGGATAGCTTCAAAATCACCTACTGACAGCACCCATGATGGCCGCATAGTGCAGCAAACTGGCCACATACTCCTTCGATCCCTTTAGGCTTTATCTGTGGAGCAACCGAGCGTTTAGTGGTGCAATGAAGGTAAACATAAACATGAACATCTTTGTGTGTGCCGGTTTCAAGATCCATCTGTTTAACAGCATTAGTATGGCACCCTGCAACCTATTAAATGCTGCCTTTGAAAGCCTCAGTATGGTCAGGGGTGGGTGTCTCGGATTGCAGTTGGTCATCCTGCCTTTGAAACTCGCGAAATCATTCCATACGGCCGTGTCTCAAATAGCCCCTACTGTGGAAGCCCTACTTACTACCTTCTCGTGGCAGTGTTTCCCACAACAAAATGAAGAGGACGAAAAGCCGACATCCGGGGCTATAACCGGGTTGGTGAATCACGGGGGAGTTGGTCAAAAACCCTGATTCCAAACCAACCATGAGGAGGCGTAGGAACCACACAATTTTCTGGTTGTGACCGTTGTGGACACTGGCTCAATTAGGCACCGAGGTGCATTGAGAACCTTGGACGTTTGACCCCGTCCGAAAGGTGTATGATTCGATGAACTGGACACCGGCT